AGGGGCAGAGTTGGGCAGAGAGAAGACTCCGGAAACCAGGCAATCCGGGTCCTGATCGCAGTCCCTCAGCTTCCCACCTCACCCCGCCTGGGGGCTTCTCTCCTCTGTGCGGTACTGGGAGTGTCAACACCACAAGAGCCACACGCTTCCTGTGGCAGCAAACACGGCACATGGCAGCTGTGACCCAGTCCCTTCCCAGGCTGCCTCTTCCCAGGCCTTTGGGGTGGTCTCACTCTTAGGCACAACCCAGCCAGGCTGCGAGGCTCCTTACTCTAGTGTTCCCGGCCCCTTTGCCTGGGCCCACTTCGATTCCTCAAAACAGTAGAATCCCAACTAGTCGGGGGAGAGAGAACTTTGGAGCCGTGGGTGCTGTGGGTGCTGGGGGCGAGGGTAGCAGATGTGTTTGCTGTGCATTGGGAGGGAGCTGGGCGTTGGGACGTTGGCCTGCAAGGCTGGGGCCAGGACTGCGACCTCCTCCTCCTCCTCCTCCTCCTCCTCCTCCTCCTCCTCCTCCTCTCCTTCCTCAGTTTCATCACCCATGCCCCGAACTCCTGCTCACACCCCATCTGCCTCGGCGTCTGTGGAGCCCTTGTTCTGCTCACCCCACCTCTCTCCCCTGCTTTACTGAAGTTCACCTCCTCACATCCTCCAGCAGGTTTCCCAGCTGCTCCTGGGCACACCCCGTGCCCCCCCATGCCATCCGGTCTGACCTCGGTGTACAGGGTTCAGTACAGGGGGCAAAGCCCTAACTCTACGTTTCTAAACTGGCCCCTTCTCCCACTCTGCCCTGGGAAGTGCTCACTGAACTCTGGAGCCCTGGGCAGCTGCCTTGCTCGAACACTTGCCCGTATTTCAGAGCCAGCACTTTGATTGAACACATCCCCCGTGCCAAGCCCTTGGCAAATAGTAAGTCTCACCCTTACAATAACATCTGAGGCAGATACTCTTATCTACCTTGGAGGGTAAGATTAAGTGACTTTCCCCATCAGTGAGGAGTTGCCGAGCAAGGATCTGAATTCAGAGCCTAGATGCTTCAGCAGGCCCCGGCGCGATGTCTGAGGCTGGAAACACCAGCAGGACCCTGGAGGGCCAGTGCTCTTGTAAAAGCCAGGAACAATTTTCCAGGTGAATGGCCCAAGTAAAGAAGAAAAAGGAATGGGGCAATGCATCTTCAAGTGATGAGTTTTTAAATTGGAGACGGAAGCGGGAGGGCCCCTCCTAACCCACCACTCTCATGGGCAAGGGCACCGAGGCCCGGAGAGGGGACAGGTGTGTCCCCGTGACTGCGTGGCTGGAAAGTCAGGGAGAGGGATGCCGCCTGAGAAGCTAGTGGCCGCTTGGAGCTGGCCAAGAGATGGGTTCAGTGGTGTGTGAGGGAGATCAGGGCCACTATGGGATACGCTGCCGTCCAGCTTCCTTCCCATTGTGGGTTTTCATTTTCTGTACTTCTGGAGAAGTCATCATGCAAATCCCAGGGAGAGGCCTGAGAATGTTTCCATGCGGAGGTAACTGACAGGTGCCAGCAATTGGTGCCTCCAAACAGCATCTGGGCGCGAAGGTAAACACCCTGCAGCTAGTCTTCCGGATGGGGGGCACAGACAGTTGTTGGGGTATGGAGCGAGGCAGGGCACATCTGTTCTGCGGCTGGAGCCGCCCCTTCTCGCCACCCAGATCAAACACTTGGAAGGACTCAGGGCCATAAATGTATTGATCGGGCTGGCCCCCATGCACCTGCTGTTCACCCCCGTTCCCCATCAATGTGCTCAACTGTCAGGCTTCTATCTCTGTGCTGGCCATGGTTTCCTTCCAAAAGTAATCAGGAAAGATGATTAGCCCAGAACCCCAGCTGATAACACAGCCCAGTCCTGGGTGGCCTTGCCTGGAGATTTGAGCAGCCAGTTGGAAGGCAAGGGGTTAGGAAAACTTAGGAAACAAAATAATCCCAGTTAAGATTTGAAAAGCAAACACCAGAGGCTGCATGAGAAGAGATATGCCAAGGGGAAGTGGTTATTTTTGGGACCCTGTCGGCAAGACAGTATAACTCAGAGCTCATAAAGTTATCAAAATTGATGTCCCACGCAGGACATTTTCTCCAGCATTTTTCTCAGTACAGACCTTCAGAAATCTTCAGTTACTTTATATTTGTGTAGAATATTGACCTCAGAAACTTTGATGTATATTTCCTCAATGTTTTTTACTATAAAGTTTTGATGACAGTTATAGCTAATAATAATTAGCTAATATTGACCCATAAATCAGAAAAAAATAGATTCCACATCGGAGTTTGATTCTCAGATCCATTCTGAACACCCCCTCCCCATTTTAATTAAATTCTTCATTCCATGTGATTTTAATTATAATATGAACTGCTCTTCCTACTTGGCAAAAATTTTTGGCCAAGTCTCTGTGACAGCTATTACATATTTGATAATTTTAAATGAATCTTTATGATCACATAAGAAAAACTTAGAGAAAAAAGGAAAAGAAAAACTTAGAAAGCTCAGTAAACTTCAGATCATATGTTGAATTTCAAAACAAAAAATTTATATCTTTTTCCCCCTTCCTTCTCTTTATTGTCCTAACAAATTTTTAAAATATTAGCCTGGCAAGCTCCCCGTGATGTATTCGATATGCCAGACACAGTAACAACAAAGTCTCCAATGGAGACGTTACTGGGCCCGCTCGAGCAAATCGATGATCAACGGGAGGGCCTTTACTTTACTTTACTTATTAATTAATATTTTTTAAATGATTAGCTCTTACGGTGCTCTGTTGAAATGGAGTAATTTAGAAACAATGCAACAGAAATCTCTATTACAAGTCTAATTACTTTTTTTAAGGGTACAAGATGTTGGTAGATGGCTCATGCTTTAATATTTTTATAGAAGAATCTAGCATCATAGAGAAGAATAAAAGAATTTTGAGAAATAGAAAAAATACATGCAGTCATATTTGTGAGACCATAGGACTATAACCAAAATGCACAGAATTGGTGGTTGAGTCCAATCTCTGGCATGTCTCTCTTGATGAAGGAATCGAGAGATTCCTCTTTTTACCTACCTCTTATTCCTACTGCGAAGAACCGGGAAATGTTTCATGGCACAAAAAAGCAGATATTCTTGAGGGGAAGCTGTAAAGATGGGTCCACAGAGCCACTGGGGACATTAGCAGCAGTTTGGGCATCAGATACCTGCTTTGGAAAGCAGGTGTGTTGGGGATGCAGTTTCCATAGTGAATGTGTGTTCCTTTCTTATTGCTACAGTGACCAGGATCAGAGTGCAGCCTAACCAAGACTGACCTTTATTCTTGCAGTTCTGGAGACCAGAGGTCCTATTTGGGTGCTGACGTGGCTGTGCTCTGGAATATGTTGGGGCTGCCTGTGTTGTGATCTCGTGGTGGGCTCCAGGCTCTGCCTTGTCCAATGCACTGTGACTCTTCTGTGTTTTTATTTTGTGTGTGTGTGTGTGTGTGTGTGTTACTTTTGAAACTCCTGCTCATGAGGAAGTGTGTGATGCATTTGGTCCCCAACCCCTTGCAGGGTCAGATCCTTAACTTTATCCTGTACTTTGCCATGTGAGAAGACATTTCCAGGTCTGATGTGGGATTGCTCTGTGTTGTGTGTGCGTGTGCGTGTGTGCATGTGTGTGTGTGTGTGTGTGTGTGTGTGTGAGTGTGTGTGTAGCACAGTGTGTCTGGCAAAATGGCTTAGTTGGATTTCTCACCCCTTCAAAGTTGCCTTGGGCTCTTTCTCGTCTTTCCAGGACAGCCTCTGAACATGACTAAGTAGGGCCTCCCTGCCTGAACTTCCCCAAGGGACTGGACTCAAGTCTACCTACTGCAATGGTATGACAAAGAAAAGGCCAGGCTCATCTTTGCAGCTAGCCCCATTAGTGCCGTCAGGCAGGGTCCTCTTCAGGATTCCTGCCACCCAGAGGGAATGGGGAAGGAATCAATGTCGCCTTCTTGGAGTATGCTGATATTCTGGGGTGGTAGTTGGGAACCACGAGTGGATGGACAGTCCAGTCTGTCTATAGGGATAAACCTGAAGTCCAATTCTCCATGTTTTGGGAAGGCCCAAGTTTAGCCACCCAGGTTCGCCAGGTCACTGATGTGAGGACTGCACTGGGGTATGCTGAGATGTTGGGCCACAGCCGTGAACTCAGTCGAATTCCAGCTGCCTGAGCTTCCAAAGCTCCCATTTTTAGGATGAACTCATACCTTCCTGGCCCTAGAACCTCTTTCTGCATCATGTATTTTCCCTGGTTTCTGTGTCCTTCATTTTCAGGTTGCTGTGATCTAAACATGTATCCTCCCAAAGTCATTTGTCGAAATGTGCTGATTTGATGGTAGTGGGCAGTAAGGTGTGGCTCTGTACTCAGGAATTACCTCTGGTGGTGCTCAGGGGACCATATGGGATGCTGGGAATCGAACCTGGATTGGCTGCTTGCAAGGCAAGTGCCCTACCTGCTGTGCTATTGCTCCAGCCCCGAAAACATTTTTTTTTTCATACTCCATTTGGAATCCAGGTCGGCCATACATAAAGCAAACACCCTACCCACTGTACTATCCCTTGCCCCAAAGTTAACAGTCACTGTCACTGTCCTCCTGTTGTTCATCGATTTGCTCCAGTGGGCCTAATAACATTGTAAGATTTGTTGTTACGGTGTTTGGCATATAGAATATGTCACGGGTAGCTTGCCAGGCTTTGCCATGCGGGCGAGATACTCTCAGTAGCTTGCCGGGCTCTCTGAGAGGGGCAGAGGAATCGAAGACGGAGGAATCAAACTCGGGTCGGCTGGCTCGGCTGCATGCAAAGCAAACGCCCTACCCGCTGTGCTATCGCTCCAGCCCAAAGTTAACACAGATAGATTCTATTACAAGGCAGCTAGAATAGAGCTTTGCCCTGGAGAGTGGTAGACGGATGCAGATGGGAGAGGGAAACTGTGGATTTCAGAAGGTACAAACCCTAAAGCTTCATAAGGGGTTGAGTGGGGACTCACATTAAATCTTGAGTTGTTCGTCTGCCGGGATCGTTTCTCTGCCAGGAGATCCTTGACTGTGTGCTTCACTCTCACGCCTTGATACACTCGTTTGCTGAAGTCTCCTGGGACTTAAGCAGAAGTTGGAGATGGAAAAATTAATAGCCTTCTACTAAGGGCTAAACCTGATGCTATTTTCTCATTGAAGTAAAAGACTCCTTGAATTGGAAATGGCTGGAACCCAGGTCGTTTTGTCCTGTCTCCAAATTTTTGACGGAAATTCATGTAAACTGTACCAAAGTTTTTTTTTTTTTTTAAATAACAGAACACTAAGCCAGGGCAAGGAGATGGCTAGAGCACAGGCCTGCTGTTTGGGGGTCCCACCGTTTTATCCCCAGTGTGCTGCTGGGGGCGTGGCCCTGTAAACAAAAAGAAACACTGTTTCATCTTCTATTCATCAGTGCCGTCACAGTCTTTCTCCAGCATTCTCATCCAGGAAGACCTACAGTTTATACTTTACCAACAGCAGCAGAGATCAGATGTGACTTGAAACAATGTTTTTTCCTACCTATTCTGTCTGCTTTGATGCAAAAACTAGATCTGTCCAGTTTGTGCTGTGTGGTAATTTTGCCTAAGTGGATAACGGTTCTCAAGTTACCTGTTTAATGCATGCTGCGAGAGCTTTTAAACTTTTGAAAATACAGTGACTTGCTATGAAAAGAAGTTTAAAGATCACTGAAAGGGAAGTGTCATTCATTCCCAATAACAAATATTAATTGGGCACAACACGACATATACTTACTGAAGTTACTGCAACAACGCTGGCAGTCTAAAACTGTGTTGTACCTGATCCAGTTTATAGCTTGAAAGACAGATTTGTGGCTAAGTCATTCGCTAATAGCTCATGGCTGCTAATAAGAAAACAGCTGAGATTCTAACTTTGGTCAGATTGTTGCTCCAACAACCCATAAAATGTGCTATTTTCACAACGAAGAATTTTAGAATGAATTCTAGAAGAGAAAACTTGCCCCTGGTTCTGAATTGCATCGAAGCATTGCTTCCAGGCCCAAGGTGTTCCTGTCTCTGAGGTGGATCTGGCCATGACAGGGGGACCTTGGAACTGACATGTTGAACTGGTGGTCGAGCTGGAGGAGGAATCCCACAACAGTTTCTGACCTGGGAAGCGCTCTGGGGTGGGTCGGATGGTGGAAGTTCATTTTTGCAGAGGTGTTACCAGCATGCACAGCTGACACAGAATCCAGCATCTGAGAGAATAGCAGACTACACCAGCACGACCGGCATTAGGCATTTAACGGAAAATAATTCTTTAATCTGGCTGAAACCATGGGGACTTTAGGCTGTGTTTGAGGAGGCAGAAACCAAGCCAGAGGCCACGTGGTGCCTGCCCAAGGCCGGGTGATGGCTGTCATTGTGTGATAAAGCGGGCACGTGGAAACGCCTTGAACGCCAGCACACTTCCTGCAGCATTCCAGCATGCAACAGAAAGAGAACACTTAAATTCCAAGATAATATATTATTTTATTCAGACATAGCCACAGGCAACCTGGTTTCAGAGAAACCAAATTATTTGCTGATTTTGGTCTCATTTTGACAGCCTTTGGTCTCAGTATGTATCTTTTAATTGAAGAGGGTTAAGAGGCTTAACTTTAAAGCTTTAATGACCTCATGCTTGTTACAAAGGAATCTTAGGTGCTGCTCCTAGAATTGTATGGATGTGACCCCCACTTCCTTTTTGAAAAGCCTACAGCGGCACTTATTCATCACAGATTTATTATTTTCTGTGTGTCAGGCATTGTGTTGAGAACTGGGGACACAAAAGAACATGCTATCTAGTGGGCGGAGAGAAATCCTTAAAAATGATTATAACGCAGATGTTCGCAGTGCAATAATAGAAGGAAGTCTGGGCTGTTGGGGTGAGGCGGCCAAGGTGTCAGCTCCTGGCGAGGACAGGGGAACACCTGCGGGTGGTGCTCATGAGGTCCAGGGACCCCACCCTGGTAGATAGGGATTCAGTGTGAGGGCCAGAGAGGGCAGTGCTGCCTGGGCCCTGCGGTGAGGGACATTACCCAGGCCACCAGGATGGTGTTTGGGGTCTCCAGGACAAACCAGGTAGGATGCATGCAAGGCCTGCATCTTCATCCCTGTACTCTCTCTCTGGCCCTGCTCTGGAGGTTTCTAAGGACGGGAGGAGGAGTGTGGTTGGATTTGCTTCTCTGGTAGCAGCCTCTGCGTAGAGGGCAGATTTTAGAATCACAAAACCACAGGGAGAGCGTGCAGGGGGATTCTCGGTGAATGCAGGCAAGAGGAAAGGGGGGAATGTACAGGAGCACGTGGAGGATTGGAAATTATGCAGGGCTGGAGGGAAGTGGGGGAGCATGCAAGGGGAAGTGGGGGCGGAGCATGCAAGGGGAAGTGTCCAGTGAGGAGGCAGGTTTGCTGTGGTTTTAAGGCTATTTGCATTCTTAGAGGGGCAGGGATGTGAGAATATCTGGGCAGACCAACAGCGGGACAGAAAATTTGGGAAGGAGAGAGAAATTTCCCAAGGAAGGAGGACTGAAGAGGAGCATGGAGTTGGGGGCAAGGGCACAAGTTGGCCCTGACCTCTGAGGCTGGAAGAGAGAAGAGCAGGTGGTGGCAGTTGGCCCTGAGCAGCCTGAAGGAGGAAGGTGGGGGAGGGGGTTCCTCCTAGCATGAAGGGGCAGAAGGGGCAGAGCAGGGGGCTTGGTGGGACTAGAAGTGCAGATCTTGCCTCTTGGGTGGGCACTGGTCAAAGCCCGTGTCCATACTACGCCACCCAGATGTCAGCATCTCTCCATCGTGTCCCTTCTCGTCCATGTCTGCCTCCCTTATCCTCTGTGTGCTAACCTCAGCTCTGCAGTCAAAGTCACCACAGGCTTGTTTTTCACTGGACATTGCCTGCTCCTTTGCTTCACTGCTTTATATACCATCTAAGAGGGAGATAATCCAGTATTTATCGTCCTTCTGACTTATTTGCTTAGCCAGTTTTATCCATGTTGTCACAAAAGGAGAGAGTTTATCTTTCCTCATACCTGAGTGCTATTCTCTTCTGAATGTCTGCCACAGTTTCTTTCCCCTCTCATCCATTGTTGGGCACTTGGGTTGTTTCCAAAGTTTGGCTGTTGTGAATGGCACTGCAGTGAATATCAGTGGGCATGGATATTTTGAATTGGTGTTTTGGTATTCTTGGGATAGATACCAAGGAGTGGAATCACTGGATTCCATTTTGACATTTTGAAGAAATCTCTATATTGTTTTCCGTAAAGGATGAACCAGACAACACTTGCACCAGTAGTGAAGAGCGTGCCTATTTCTCTGTGATCCTGCCAGCGCTGGTTATTCCTGGCCATTAGGTAAAGGTTATCATGATTGGTGTGGGGTGACAGAAATCTGTGCCGTCACAAACCCTTGAGGTGATTCTGAAGTTTGAGGACCACAGTTACATATAGGAACGTGTATATAGTCCTTAAGGACTTTCTATGACTCCAACCTGGGCGTTTCTGTTTGAGCATTTCTGCCTAACTGACTGAGTACAGCAGCCAGTGGGTGGGGGTGGGGGTTTGCTGAGGATGGAGGCATGGAGAGGCTTAGGCGAGGAGCCTTTGTGTGTTTGCTGACAATTTTTGCTAACTTTTACTTTACACAGGCTCTTTTAGTTGATGATTTCAGTCTGACTTGCCGAGTGTATGCCCGAACAACCTCTTAGAAATAGGCCTGCTCTGTATCAGTTTAACAAATACCTACAGGATGATTAATTGAGAAAGGTTCTGAGATGGTAGACCAGAACTTCTGAAATGTTGTCATCAAGTAATTAGACTTATGCACCAGTTGGCCCTGACTTAGAGTCAAGTTGAGCTCTGAGCCACGGCGGGGCGGCGGGGGGGGGGGGGGTGCAGAATAAATTTAGAACCTATAGCAGATGTCCTGAAAGATCCCCTTTAAATGAGAGGTGTCAGACTTTCACACGCACACTCAGGAGTGTTGGTGAAGCTTTATGGGAAGGGCTGGACATGGGTCAGACTAGGAAGACTGTGGACAGGCTCAGGGAGGGCGATGGGGCCTTGGAGACATAATATGCGGCATAAGTTGGAAGGAGCATTAAGAGGTGCAAGGTGTGCACAGAAAACACAGCTTAGGACCTTGGGGAATGGAGCTAATGTCTGCAAAATGCCATCTGTGTCGATGAGTTGCAAATGGTTGCCCCTTGCCAGGGCCTGTGTGGGTTTTACGCTTGGGCACCCATCTTCATTGGGGAATCTAGAAATTGGTTCCAGCCCCACTTCACTGAATAGCAACTCCATACTCCCCTTTCTCATTTGCTCTCCCAGAAACCCCCTGTCTCAAGCACCAGACCCTGCTTGGAACTGCCCAATTGCATAGTTCCTGGGTCCTGGTTCCTTTCTGCTCTGTCTCTTGTGTCACAAACCAGCTTCTAGCATTCCTGATGATGCCACTTACAAGCAGACACCAGGGCTCCTGCCATTATTCTGCCACTGACAGGAAGACCCTCCTCCTCTGGGAGTTCCCTCAGCAGCCGCCTCCCCAGCTGGCTCTCCAGGCTTCTACCCTTCACCCCTCAAGAGTCCTACCACATCAGCTAGTCCTGTCACCCCTCCAGACAGCGACTCTGCATTTTGCTCAGAGTTAAAACTAAAATCCTCTTCTTTGACCTTGAGCCCGATCTTACCACTCTCGGGTCCTCATCCCCCACCCCTCTGGCTCTCAGGACTCCTACGAGTTTTTGAAGGGCATCTTTACAAACGTCAGCTGGAAGGCCACCCCATCCCCCTGTGGCTCAGTGTCCTGGCCTCCTGCAAGTTCTAGTTCCTGTGCCATCTTCACAATGGAAACATCATTAAAGCTGCACCTTCCCTAGGAATCTGGCGGCACTCTGGTTCTCCTATGTAGCACCATCCCTGGCTCATGCCTTATATGATTTCCTTCTTTATTAAGCATGTGACTGGTTATCTGTGCCATACTGGAAGGGTTTAGTCTAAATTTGCTGAAAGCATTTTGGCTTTTGTGGCTGTCCAGGATAGAAGTGTTGAAGATGCTGAAAACCAGTCTGGGAAAAGTTCTCCTTGATGGTGTTGGTGATGGAGATTTTGACATGTTCCACCAGGAAGAGTGTCACATTATTTTGTGTGTTTCATTTTTTGGCATACGTGTTTGGGTGATTGGATGAAATTTTTGATAGATTAATGCAGGTTGATCTTGGGTGGGATGAAGATGAGGAAGCCGAGAAGGTAGAAATGGCCGGGTCATGAGAAACAATGGGAATAGCAAGGAAGGGAGATGTTCTAAGGACCCTTCTCACTCCTCTTATCACCACCCTTACAGACTCAAAAAACAAAGCAAGACCCAGAAGAGAGAACAAGAAGCCAAGGAACAGAGTTTGTCCTGATGGGGAAAAACTTCCCTTCTTGTGTATGTTGATTTTTTAGGTGCTCGTGGCACAATCACAACATTATCCTGGAGCTATTTTCAGATGAGAAGTTTGACCGGAATTAGAACTGGACATTCAAAGAAATTCCTCTAAACCCATAGTACTCATAGCTGTGGAAGTCTGGATTTCCCAGGGATACCCAGGGTAGGAATCCAAGCTCTAGGCCCCATGTGGGGCTACCACAGTTCTGCTGCCCAGGAGAAACCAGGAATCTGAAAAGTTTAGGGGTGTCCTGGGGTGTCCTGGGGTGTCCTGGGGTATCCTGGGGGAAAAGAGGATGCAGCGGAGGGTGTGGCATATTAGGAGTGGAAAGGAGGAGTGGAGAGAACAATCAGCTGGACAAGCGCCCGGATCCAGCAAGACTTTGATAAAGACTTGTGGAATGAATTAAAAAATAAATAAAATCACCAGAATAGATGGGAAGTCAGTCAAATTCTTCGACTCATAGAGGCACTGAGGGACAGGGAAGTGGGCACGGATGGTGAGGGAAAGGAGGTGGAGATGGCACCTTCAGAGAAAGGGAGAAGGGAGGGAGCCCTTTCTTCAGAGCTTCAGGGCAGAGAAGCTGGGCAGAGCCACCCCCAAGCTCAGCCACCTCCTTTGTGTGCAGCATCAAAGGGAACTGAAAGAATTTCAGCTAAGCAGTGACACCAGGTCCCAGTCCTCTGCCCCAGAACTTCTCAGCCTTTCTGCCCTCTGACCATGGCCTGCTTCCAACCTCATTTCCTTCTTGTGCCACCCCCTGCCCCCAACTCCTGTCCTAATTTTGTGCCATGGCCCCCCACTGACACTACTTCTGCCTGTGGCACCCTGGGATTATCCAGGGACTCTATGGCCCGCAGTGGGGAAACGCTGTTCAAAACCAGCACCTGGAGTATTCTTCATGTTTAGGGGCATTCTGGGCCTCGTCCCCTCCCTGCCCTCCTTGTGTGGAGAGTTTGAAAGTGGCACCCACTTTCCCACCCCAGACACGTCTTCCGGTGCATTGTGTCTATTTAAAGAATCCACCTGCATGAGCCAGGAGTTGCTGAAGAGTTCCTATTCAAATCCCTTATATAGAAACTTGCATTCAGAGATCGGTTGTTGAGAAAACAAAGACAGTGCACTCCGGGAGAGCAAGTGCAAGCAAATTCACCCGCCAGACTCCTGTCCCGAATTATGCGGGCATCCGTGTCTGTGCGGGGCCTTATGACCTATGTGTGGCTCTGGGCAGCCGGCGGCCCGGGCATGCCAGCTGTGCCATGCCCATCGGGCCAGTAGGGCAGGTTACACTGGCCTTTTGATACTGTTTATGAACAATTGAAGTTTCTCTGCCGAGTCAAAGGCACACGTACTGCATGCAAATGTCTAGAAGGTCGCGGTTTCTAGAGTGTGTTGTCGCCGTGTGTCAGAAATCCTGTGTCCGAAGCCCCTGAGACTTTTGCTAATCTCCACAGGGTTCACGAGTGCTCATTACACATGTGGAGGGAAGGAGAGAGTTGAAAAGATAAGGCCTTCTCACCGTAGAACAGACCTGCCCTCCCCTTTGCCCCTGCCCAGGGACCCAAGACAGTAATGCTGGCTGTTCTGCCTTGGTGCTTGCACTTGGCTTTGCACTTGTCTGGCCAGTGCTCTTAGCTGGGGCTTCTTCCCTGGATTCCATTCCCAGCCCCTTTCCCCTCTGCAGTGAGGGTGAGCACTGCAAGCTACGCTGCGGATTCCTTCCACATTTGATTCCATGTGAACTTTTGAGTGGTGGTGCATTCTGGAAACTCGCACTGTTGCCAAACTTTCCCTGACTCCCCCCAATCCCCTCCTCCCCCAATCCCCTCCTCCCCCCTTCAGTTCTATGCCACACAGATGCAGAAGCTGAGCTTTAAGTCACCAAATCGCCCTCTGGACGCCAAGGGGTGCATATGAGATGCTTCATCAGACACCGAGAGGAGAGGGCATCAGTGCCAACAGTGGCCCCTCCTCGTGCAGACTGACACCCAGTGGGTAAAGCACGACAAAACAGAAAAGCCCTCACTGCTGGCTTGTTGGTGGGCAGCCTCTCTTTGCTGCATTTCTCTGCCATGGAGGTGCCACCAATAGGGCCCAGAGAGGCCCAGCAAGCACCAGGGTGTGTGTGGAGTAAGGCCAGTGTGCTTCTCAGGGTCCCCTTCCTTGCCTGCCATCCAGCCAACCACTGCTGAGGATATGAGGGCCCCCGACTGCAGGAGGGGAGGCAGACGCCTATGGGAAAACTGGTCTCTATCCACTAGAGGCTCAAGTTTTTGGGGTTCCCACATGATCCGGGGAGGTGATGGGAAACTCCAAGGAGACTACAGGGAAAAGCAAGTTGAGCAGCTAACTGTGAAAAGCCCCAAACCCGAGTTATTTGATATATATATATATATGTAGATATATAGATATATATATAGTGAAAATGCCAGAAGAGCCTGGCAAGCTCCCCGTGGCATATTCGATATGCCAAAAACAGTAACAATAATGGGTCTCATTCCCCTGACCCTGAAAGAGCCTCCAATATGGTACCATTGGGAAGGACGAGTAAGGAGAGGCTGCGAATATCTCAGGGCTGGGACGAATGGAGAGACGTTACTGATGCCCACTGGAGCAAACTGATGAACAACGGGATGACAGTGATACAGTTATAGTGATACAGTGATAGTGCAAGCGTATAATACATAGTAACATATAGCTATATAATACATATTAATAAGCAATAGCATATGAAATACGTAGAGCTCTCTCCATAAATTGGGCAAAATACCCAGCAAATCTGAACCTGAAATGGCTG